TTTTAACACGCTAAGTGTCTTTATCAATAAATGTCTTGGTAAAGATCGTTGGTGTGTCAAAACATTTGATGGCTGAATAAACCACCATTATAATATTTTGCGGTGCGCTGACATGTTTGTTATTCTGTAGAATCTGGATGTTGATATTCTTATATCTAAACTTGCATTTGTATTTGTATTAATTAATGAAGTCCCACGATCCCTTGCTGTGCCTAGAAATGCAGGGAATCATGGGGAAACAAGATGTCTGCAGAACGTAACAGAGGAATGCACTTTAAGTGATCATTAAAAATGATTCTGCTGAGGGCGTGGCCACGCGACGAGCCAGGACGGACGTGTAAGCCGCGAGCTCCTGCCCATGAGACGGCACACAGCGAATATACCAGCACTTAAAACCGCAAATACGAGCTCCCTTGGGTGGCTAGAGACCATGGCACACCGTGCAACAAAGAAACCCAAGCAAAAACCGGCTGACCTACTAATTTCAGCACGTACCTCGCCGAGCAGAAAAATCCAAGATGGCGCCGACCACCCGCCCTCGCCAGCGTCCTGCTCTGATGGCAGTGATAATACATCTATCTCCACACATGCTGCTGTACCAGCCACTAACTCCTCCATTCAAAAGATGCTAGCAGAACTCAAAAGTTCCATGCAAATGGAGTTCACTAAACTGGCTAGAGACATCAAAGCCGACATCCACGCAATAGGTGAGCGAACTGCACACTTGGAAGACAAAACAGACGAAATCATAAGTGCACATAACACATTGGCTGATGCATACACCGACATTACCGCCAAACTAGATTTCTTAACGAACAAAATAACTGACCATGAGGACAGAGACAGGAGGAGCAACGTGCGCATAAGAGGCATACCTGAAGACGTACCCCCACAAGACCTGTCAAACTTTGCAACAGACCTCTTTCAAGCTCTGTCCCCAGAACTGTCACCACCTGAACTCCTCCTAGACAGGATCCACCGCCTGCCAAGGCCTAAGAACCTACCGACGTCCCTTCCACGCGACACTATCGCTAAATTCCACTATTTCACGTCCAAGGACAAAATCATGAGGGCCTCAAGACTCCTTCCTGAACTGCCAGGCAAATATGCAAAGATAAAGATTTTCACGGATCTATCTGCGGCAACCCTCCTCAAAAGGAAATCATTAGCGCCCATCACCACAGCGTTAAGAAATGCTAATATTGTCTACAGGTGGGGTTTTCCAGCCCGGCTCATGCTTAGACGGAATGGCGTCGAAAAGCACATCCTCACAGTGGAAGAAGGCCTCCGTATGCTCAAGGAATGGAATATACCTCATCCGACACCACCCAACGACGAGGTGCAAAATCCACTGAGACGCTCTCCTGCACAAATATCCAGAGACTGGAATACAGCTAAGTGACTTTGCAGCAGAACGCATGACCAGTTAGTACGGCTTGTTGCCAATCCTATACACATGGGTTACTCCAAGTGTAACCCGACCTAAGTTACACCTCTATTCTACCGTAACTAGTTGGGGGCAACGTTTCACTAACCCCCTACCACACGACTAGATACTCTCCCAGGACCACTCAAGGGTAGCGTACACAAGAGATTTATTCACGTTACACAGAATCGCTACACCCGCACCTAGAGTCTCACGCAGGTCACCGCTAAGACCCCCACCAGGCCAACAATGGCCTCCACTATGCCGTTTGTACCTCTCAGTACCACCCTTGACGGCACTCTGTATATAGTTCAAACTGTTATATTGTTCATCTTGTCTATGTCTTGGTATGTTTACACTGTGTCACAAGTGTCACACCCTACCACAACCTACCACCTACCCATGACGCTCCACAAGCACATGCCACTGATGCTGTATGCAATCGCAACCCACAACGCCTCTACCCGCACAGACAGCGTCACTTTTTCGAGCTCAGGCCATTTTCACCACACCATAATATGGCCATACCCGACAAACCCCACCACACAAACTACTAAGCGTAATGTAATGCTCATCTATAAGTTAGATGGGAAAGGGAGCAGTAAAATAAATGGCTCAATGACCTACGTAACAGACCTCCAAAAACCTATAAAATGACCCTCACAATTGTATCACTAAATGTAAAAAGTCTGAACACACCCCACAAACGAAGACTAGCGCTGGAGGAAGCCAAAAAATCGAAAGCCCAAATAGCTTTCTATCAAGAAACCCACTTTAAGTGGGGGAATAGACCCAAATTCAACTCCGCCCTCTACCCCCATGATTTTCACTCATGCTACAAATCAAAAAAAAGAGGGGTAACCACTCTCATAAACAAGGACGTATCCTTCACCCTAGTGAAAAAAATTGGCGACAAACATGGCAGATACCTAATCATTCAATGTTATATCAATAACAGCCCATATACATTGGTCAACATTTATGGACCAAATGATAACCAACATGAGTTTATAATTAAAATATTTAGCTTACTCACATTATACAGTTTCGGTGATACCATAATTGGAGGCGACACCAACTTCCTGCTGAATGCCTCCATAGACACATCAGCATGCCATTTAACCCCTGCGAAATCGACCAAACAATTAACAACCCTCACCTCTAAGATAGCCCACACCATCCGCTCACACGACTTTATAGACCCATGGTGGATATTCCACCCCACAGATAGAGACTACACATTCCACTCTGCAGTACACAATACATACACTAGGATAGACAGATTCTTGTTACATACTAATTATATAGACAAAGTTCAGTCAGCAGAAATAGGCCTAATAACATGGTCAGACCACGCCCCTATAACACTAACCATCCAAGAACAATACACATCCAAAGGAAAAGGCACCTGGAGACTGAATGACACCTTGCTTGCAAACCAAGACACAGCAGCCAACATACAGAGCG